ATTGTTTGTGCTTCTCAACTGGCTCAATTTAGCTGCTTTTTTTTCAAAATTACACATGGAACACCACTGATGAACACCAGTACTTACTTAAAAGATCACAAAAGGAGAAGGGAGAGCTATTAAAATACATTATCTACAAGAAATAGGTGGTTTCTTTTACAAATTCTGTGCAAGATAGAAATAGTTCAATGGCCTCAAAGTCAGTATAATTAATTACAGTTGGGGCTTCAATACAGTGATATTTTAGGTTTGCAAAGTTTTGTGTTTGTTAGCGAGGCCCCAAATCCTGAGTCATATTACACAAAATGTTAATCTGAGCGACTGCTGTTGGTGTTCAAGTACAATGAGTTACAGGTCAAAGGTTTATGAATACACAGGAGAAGCCTGAGAGTAGGAAGGGTTTTAAAATCAGCTATAAAAGAAGAAAATGGGAGGGCTTTTTCCTGTTACCCCTGCATTCTAATTGGCACTGTTTGCCTCAGAAGTCCTTGGCAGCATTACTAAATACCTACTCCTAATTATACATGCTATGACCTGGATGAGGATTTGTAGGCAGAATACTGCTACAGAAAGATTTCTTTTCTTTTCTTTTCTAGGGTTCCTCTCAGACTATTTCATTGTCTGTCAGTAAGATGCACCATATGGCTTGAAACACTACTTTAGGAATACATAAACTACCGTCTCTTGCATGCACTTCTCTGAAGGTTTTAAGGATCTAGTCTGAGGAAAGAAGTCATCTTTCCATGCCAGTAAGATTATTTTAAGCAAAAAAGCAACCAACAAACCACCACGACCTTTGTAGAAATTGAGTTACGTCACTCTTGCTGTGGTAAGACATGGCTTATCAGGAGGAAACATGCTGGGTTAATTTAAAGGGTTTTTTTTCGTTGGATCTGGAAGAGTGAGAGTTTCTGGAGCAGACTTTTTCCGAGGCCGGTCTTTGGGAACTGTTAGGAATTCAGGAGCATCTGTGGAGAGAGGAGTTGATGGAGCACTAGATGGAGCACTGCGGGTTGACGAAGGCATGGAAATGTTAGAGATAGATATCGCAGGTGGGAAAATCCCTATCTTCTTGTTGGTGGCTTCCTGAGTGGCTCGTTCAAACTCTCGGACTTCATCCATTGTCATGTCTTCAACGAGAAGGAAAGAAAGATCAAGGCACGTTAGAATCATTTCAAATGACCATTTCATTAACTTCAACTACTTCCATCCGATTTCTAAATCTAGGAATGATGGCTTATTCATTTCATTAAGCGATTCTCCACATGAATGCCTTCCCATTGTAGTGCGCTTACTGTAGTACAACGAGAAGCTAACGTAAAGGAAACCAAGTTAAGTACATTAGTCACATACTAATGGTTCCTCTTCTAACTGGGGCTGAACTGAACAGAGTGCTGCCTCTGTAACTGCTGGAAAAATCAAGCTGCTTCACAGGCAATTAAAGAATACCGCGAGATACCCAGTCAGCAAGTGCAATTTTTCAGAACTTCACACCAAATAAAACTGATAGGTTGGGGGTTTTTTGTCATCTAGATCATGAGCATGAACGGGTGAAGGGCTGTCCCCAGTCTGTTCGTCTACCGTGGCTACCGAGGGATGCCACCTCCCCCTCCCCTGACGCGCAGCTCCTGCGGGCTTCTCGCGCCAGCGGCACGCCCGTAACTGAGCCCGTTTTGCGTTTCTGCTGCTCGAGCCTTGGGAATTCCCCCTCACTCGATAAAGCCGCAACAGGCTCTCCCGCTTTTC